TTATTTCTAATACAAATGCTTTAATTTTATCTGTAAAGTAACATTTTCCAACAAATCATTAAATAATAAAAGTGTTTTGACGATTAAACTTTTATTATTCTGTTTATTATTGATGTCACTTGTCTCAGGACAGTTTCATATAACACAGCATTCCCAAGAGATGACGATTCCAGTATGCCACAAACTTTACTTGATCGCATATATTCTGTTAGAAAGTAAATCAAACCTTAACGTACTTCAGACTCTTATGTCTGAAATCAAAATCCGATTCACCAAGGTCTTGTAGGACACATTCATTGAGATGACTCAGGTGCTTTTACGCTGTCGACATGCTCAATAAGAGGGCTAAGGGCTGAAATACCTTGCTGAAATTAGGAATATGCTTTCCTTCATTGTTGTAGCGAGCTTTGTTTTCGTTTCCTAAAAGAGATGAAAGCAATAGAAGAAAGAACTCCGACAATTTATAAAAGGTATGTGAAAATGGAGATTTCATAATCAAGAATGAACGGACGGTAGGCACAACGGTATATCCCCTGTATGATTTTGGAACAGTCTGTTTGTTTGTTTTTTGTTATGCACAAAGCTACACAAGGGCTATCTGTGCTCTGCCCACCACGGGTATCGAAACCCGGTTTCTAGCGTTGTAAGTCCGCAGACATACCGCTGTGCCACTGGGGGGGGGCATTTTGGAACAGATATGCAATACATGTATGAAACAGAAGCAAGGATTATGCGGCATAACACTAAATCTAAAAACTCAAAACAAAGCGGTCAAACACAAAGCCAATTAATGGCCGCAGTGGCTGGGAAGCTGAGGAGAGTGTTGAACATGAGCATTGGACAAGACTCTCAACAGAATCATGCAGGACTGACACAGATCCTGAGAAATACTCAAGCAGTGACATGAGCTATTAGAAAAATATCACGAAGCATGATCAATTATTTTAAGGAAGCATTTACCATCGAACTTCTCCATCTTTTATCTGAGGATAAAACCCCAAAATATTTCAAATAGAAACCTAACTCATGGAGAGAAGACTCTTAAGTTATATCTGGGTGAAGGACATGCAAATCTGAAAGCCATAAAGGTGACAACATTTCACAAACAGGATCTCAAGGCGGTGGCGAAACTACCGGGGATGCAGGTGGTGCAATGCACCGGGATCCCGAGCCCCTTGGGAGCCCATCGCGATGCCAGGATCAATAAATCAATTTTATGCATCGTAAATACTTTTTTAAATGTCTATTGAAAAACTAAATATTATTTTTCAAACTGAAATTAATTATACGAAAATACCATTACATTTTCAGTAAAAATCCTTATACTGTATTTTTTTTACATAAGAGAATTTCTGACCTAAAACATTCACATATGAATGCACAAGAACACATCTCGATGCTTGTCTGACAATTGTAACGAATTTGTTATTATATATATATTTACTTTAATATCAAAGTTTGTGTAGATTAAATTTATATTTATTATTTTCCCTAACGAATCTCTAGGGTTCGATAGATTTGACGGATCTCGTAACCAACATAAAAAATAGGAAATAAAATGTATTCAATAATATATAGTTGACCCTTAGGCTTTACAAAGTGACCCTGTCTTTACTGTGTTTTAGCAGACTAGTATTTAGTAAAATACAGTAACATTTCAATTATCATGCATTATATACATATAGATTATTAATATTTAGAAATAACTTATTAAATTTAATTTTCTTAAAGCATAGAAGTAAACAATTATCTCTTCTAGTTTCGACCTTTGTACTCAGTTGCGGCTTGACATAGGTTTCTAAACCTTTATAATTTTGCACGTAGAGGATATGAAATAAACTAATTTTTTAAGTTTTATGTATACAGTTGAATAACCAAAAAATCACAAATCCCACTATTCGTTGGTAAAAGAGTAGCCCAAGAGTTGGCGGTGGGTGGTGATGACTAGCTGCCTTCCCTCTAGTCTTACACTGCTAAATTAGGGACGGCTAGCGCAGTTAGCCCAAGTGTAGTTTTGCGCGAAATTCAAAAACAAACAAACAAACTGTATCGATACCATATAATTACACTGTAATTTATCAAGCTGAGTAACTAAGCTGTATTCTGGCCAGCTGGTTAAGATGCTCGAATCCCATTCTGAAGGTCGCGGGTTCGAATCCCCGTACAACCAAACATACTCGCCTTTTCACCCGTGGGGGCATTATGATGTGACGGTCAGTTCCGCTATTTGTTGGTAATAGAGTATTCCAAGAGTGGGTGGTGATGATAAGCTTCCTTATCTCTAGTATTACATGTCAAATTAGGAACAGCTAGTGCAGATAGCCCTCGTGTAGCTTTGTGCGAAATTCCAAACAAAGCTGTATTTTGGTCTAAAAAAATATTAAATTTGGAGCAAACTAAATACACAACCTACCTGCTTGAAATCTTAGTTGGAAAAAATGAAAGGGCCTCCCAGCATTTTAAAATGTTTGAGAAAACCACTAGAGGGACATGTCATATATTGAAGAAAGTGCATACAAGAGACCATTTCTAAAAATCACAAACATCTAATTTGAAGCAGTGCTGCATTCAACATACCACGTGACACACAAAAGTGGATGTGTTTTTTAATATTTAGTTCTAAATTAAGAAATTGGATAATATATAATACTAAAATTTGAATAATAATCTACAGTTTGATACCAAACTTATTTTTTTAGGTTTTATGTATACACCTGAATAACCAAAAAATCATAAATTACTATATCGACCAAGGAAAAATGGCAACTTAGAACATAATCAATATGAAAATGAAGTTGATAAATATTTACAACCTTTTGAGAAGGTTGCCCAAACTATGGAATGACCCACCGAGAAATGTTCATTATTGTTACAAAGTGTTTTAACTGGTAAAGCACAAGAAGCTTATGCTGCTCTCTCTCTAGAAGATTGTACGACTTATGATAAGGTTAAAGCAGCTATTCTCAAAGCATACGAGTTAATACCAGAGGCTTATCGCCAAAAGTTTCGAGGTTATTGCAAACAAGATAATCAAACTTATATGGAATTTGTCCACGAAAAAGAGGTTTATTTTGATCAATGGTGCAATTCTATGCATATTGGCAACAGTTTCGACAAACTAAGACAGTTATGTCTAATTGAGGAATTTAAACGTTGTGCACGTGACGATTTCAAAACTTACTTGGATGAAATGAATGTTGAAACACTACAGGAAGCAGCCACTCTTTCGTTATCACATAAAACCACTTTTCATAAAATGAAATTCTTATCATCTCAACAAAAACCTGTATCTGTTCAATCCACTAACGCTGAGGATCCTTCTAAAAAATCCAGCTTCTCTAGTTTGAAATCTTCTGACAGTCAGGATAAAACTTATTTAAAACAATCAAGGCCTGTCTG